TGATGTTATGTATTGTTTTTTATATGTTGAAAATTAATTAAGTTTGTAAAGAGAGAAAAACGACGCCCTGACTCCCTTTTAAAATTGGGGGGCAAATATAAGGATAATTAAATTAGATTAAAAATTAAATTCCCTATCTAGTAATTCACTTTTATAATACCTCCTCACCTCTTCAAGTATCAAACTAATGACCCATTTATTTCTTCCGAACATATGGCCTAGCCAATAAACATGTCTAATTCCAGAACGTTATATTTAATAGACCTATATGTCAGCATTAACTTTCAAGAGCACTCATGGACGCCGCGATCGGTGTTTTAAGTGTTTAACCCACTTAAGATTATTCGGTGGCGTTCTTTCTCTCTCTGCCTCTTGCGTCAGATGATGTGTAACTTTGATCAAATAAAGACCTTGTGTTAAAAACTAAGTCTGTTTCTGACTCTAAAATCATGTCATATATATATATGTGATGAATCCCCATCCCTTCAAGTGTCAGTTGGGGTAAAATCAACCAGAACAACTCAACCCGCCTCCCGCATAAGGACTTTGACTTCGACCCGGCAAACTTACGAAGAACCACGTGAACGAACGACGCACCGGCTACTGATCGACGCTGAAGTAAGACTCATTTTGTCATGGCTTGGAGTACAGACTGCTTTGCTGAACATTAAAGATGATATGATAAACCGCTGCACGTTGCATTTCTCCTGTCATTCTAAGAATTACTCCAATACATAATATATATATATATATATATATATATGTAATATTTTCCTCTAACATACTTTTAATTACCTCTTTAATGATCTATAAATAATCTTTAATTCTTAGGTTTAAAAATAAACGTTGTAATCTTAATCGTAATCTGCTAAACCGATTGCCGTAGCCCGCGCATTTTAGCCAATCAGATGCCCAAAGGAAAATGCCTATTCAACGTAATCGCGCTCTCTCTCTGCTTGCCGCCATCACGTAAGTGTGAAAATACTTGCTGCTTTTTTGTCTTTGTGTTGTGTCCTCCAAAATGCCACTGTCTACTCAATGTGAAAATAGAATGTAATTGTGCTTTAATCTGCTGATGCGTGCTCATAATAAAGGAGGTAAAGCTATCCTGAAGACGTCATTACTAAATCCAAATTGATAATCTTCCACTGCGGCCAACACTACTTCAATCTATTACATATATACATATATAATCCTAATGTCCTAAAAAATATAAAATAATTCGAAATTAGGGACATAATTACTCGTTATGATTCACTGGCGTAGCTAGTATACTGAGTGAACCCTGAATCCAAATTCCTTGAGGACTTTTTTTTAAGGGGGGATCTTTACATATTCCGATGTTTTGCTTACACAATTTGGGGCCCCGTATCATTGATACGGTGATAGCTACGCTTCTGTTATGATTTCAAACGAGTAAAATGTAAGAGAAGAAATAGCCCGTTTCTGCAGGCCAATTTCTTTGAAAAAAAGTCTACTGATGCCATGGATCACAAGCGCTTTTAATTTAATTTACAGTAACTATACTCATGACTAAAATAAAACATATCTTGTGGCTCTCTATCGACTTAATACCCTTGTTCCCTTTAGAAAAGCTGGCACCAGACATCGTATGGGTGAAAGGAACGTCCGTTGTGATGTCCGTCCTTGTAAAGGAATGTCCGTTCTCTTGGATGGGGAGAAAGTTACTAATAAAAGTTATGTAAACATATCAACTTTCATAATTTAACATATACTTCCGCCTCGAACCCTTCAAGTTTCAATGTAAAATTAAATTGACATTAAGCATATGGAGTACAAAATAAGGAAATTAGATACGTTAAATGTAATACCAAATTCACATCTAATAATATTTCAGGAAATATCCAATAATGTTTCAGAAAATATATCACATTTTTTGTAACATAAAAAAATATTTTCCAAATGCCGCCCTTAAAATTTGCCACCCCGGGCAGGGGTCCGGTTTGTGCGGCCCTAAAGCCGCCCCTGTCGCCCACGTTCACAAACTCGAGACCTTGAAGGGCAGCATTTGAGCCGCAAGTTACCTTTTTGTGCATGTAGTAATCACTCGGGCTGGTGAATCATACTTGGTCCAAGGGAAGCGCCAGCAGGGGAGAAGCTGAGGGTCAATGGGAAACTAGGTTTTAAGAAACCCTCCGTCCCAGATCGAAATGTAAAAGTTTCCTTTAAGTTGTTACAGTGGATTGAGAAGTCCTTGTTGTAGATTCTAAGTCTCGAGTATTTTCTGTTGACGAAAATGTCTTTTCTGTCACGTTGGTTCTTGCTGCTGTCATCGTTGATTTATTGCGGAGTCAGTCCTGTCGCTAACGAACAGGGGAGCCGCGTGTCTTGTCTGTCTTGCTTGTCAGGAATGATAAATTGCTCTGTAGGCGAAGCGGAAGCACTGCGATTGGATATCAAAGCGGAGTGAGAAACCTCTCTATTGGATGGGCAGGGGTTGGGTTAATTGAAGATGGGAAGTGGAGAGAAATGAGTCTGAAATGTTAAGAATGAGTTTTGAAAAAAAAAAAAAAAAAAACGATTCATTCGCCGAGTGGCGAATGTGATTGATTAGTTAAATTAATCGTCTTCTTCATCAATGTAATCATTAAAGAGTGCAAGGATTGCCTTTTTTATTTTGGATTTACTGATGTTGGTTGATTTGTTTTTACTGATAGCTGTTGGGGGGGAGGAGTGGGATCTGAGATGTTTATGTAACTGATTTGTTGAACTAGTTGTGTTAATGCCAGTATAGTTTGTTGGAGTGTTTGTGTGATGAGATTGAGACATTCATTTTTATTACTGTTATTACTGGGTAGTTGAGTGGGAATCGCGCGCGCGGGGTAATAAATTCTTGAGCAGTTGGTTGTGTGGTAGCAGTCGTGGGTGTGATGTGTGGTGCCATCTGTTGGGGAGTATTTGAAGTTAAAGTGGTTTGTGCTACCTGAGCGTAAGAAATGTTGGGTCTGACAATACTATTTACTACGTTGGAGTAATTTGATTTAATTGCGGTGCCTTTGCGGGGCTTGGGGAAAAGGGGGCACTGGGTGTAGTTGACCATGTGGCCGTATGATTAGAAGTTGATGCAGAAAAGTGACTCGACTCGCTTTATCTCGCATTCACGTGTCTGGTGAGCATTTCCACATTGAAGACACCTTGGTGTTAGATGGCAGTTTCCTGCCGTGTGGTTGAATTGATTACATTGATAGCATTGGGTTACCCCCTTTGCTATCAAATCCTTCTACTACGATTGTGAGGTAACTGAGGGTTTTAAGGTCAAATATTTTTGCATTTGTTAGATTCCTGGGGAGCGTAACAGCGAAGACTGGAAGAAGTTGTTTCGTAATATTTCCTGTGATTTGAGTTACTCGCTCGACCGTGAATCCCAGATCAGCGAGGTCGTTAGCAATGTCACAAGTTAGTGTTTCGCGGTAGTCCTTTTATGACTACTTTTATAGGCCTTTGCGTTTTTGGTGTGATTGTGTAGTGTGGGAAGTTAAGCTTTTCGAGTGTATCGTTAAGTTTGGTTAAATGTGTCTGTATAATTTAATGTTTTGACCAGTCACTTTACTACGTATGTA